CACACATGCATCTAATTGCGGAGGGTGGTTCCAAATGAACCAACTAAGAGTCACAATGTCTTTCATTTTGTGCTCTTTTAAAATTAGATTTGGAGATTTGTTTTAGCCTCTTCTGATCATAACTTGGAAATTCTTTCCAAACACAGTATTTTTTTAGGAAGATAACATTTCTCCATAGGTACACACAGTAAAGAAACCCTCTTCCATATGGTAACTTTTAAATTATATCCCACTGAGATAAATATGATTTTCTCTGAAGTATGCAAACACAACCTAATACAAGTCATTTTTGGAGAACCAATTTTTTTAACCATCAGCAGCAAATGTGGTTTTTAAAAGATCTTGATGCAGTCTCGCTTATCACGTCAGAATGTTCTGTCAAACGGAAATCTGAAATTTATTTATGCTTTTGTTAGGGGAAAAAACAGTAATGATAATACTTGGATGGGAGAGGATAAATGTGATTACAAAAACAAAATGTTCTGTGTAGTAACAGCAGACAGACCAGAAGAACGCTGGCTTGTATTATGTTTTCACAATAATAAAAATCCCCATGTTCTTAGTGAATTCTATCCTATGGAGCTTTAACCTTATATGCTGACATGAAACTTTACTGGGTTTTGTTTTCTCATTCCTCACACTGACAAACTCTTATCTGCTTTAGCATTTGCACACCAGCATGACAAAATAAAATTAAGGACGTTTATTATTTTTCTCTTGGTAGTAGCTAAAGCTAGTTACAGCCCAGTTATAGTAGATTTAATCAAACGAAAGAGCCCCTGAGGACAATACGGTTTAGTCCCAATTATGTGTGTCGCGTATAGCCTAGGGTGCAGTCCCACAGACAATTAAATTACTTGAGTCTCATTGACAAGGGCAGTTAAATAGCCTGTTTGTAGCATTTGGACACCAAGATTTCTGGTGATTCAAGTTCTAAGCAAAATGAGTACATAGAGACGTTTGCCCAATTATGTATATTAAGCTCTCTAAATCAATGAAATGTATTTTAAGGTCAAACTGAAGGTCAACACAAACTAGCTAAAACTACAAAGTATACAGAAGTCAATGCTGCTATATATTTCATATTATGTGCCTTTCCATCAATTCACAACATGCTATACGCTAATTCACAACATGCTCAACAAACACTTGTTTTCTGAAACTACTGTGTCTGAAAACTGTTGTGGTTCGTATAGACAACATAAGAATACAGGACAAAATCTGCCATGCAAGCAAAGAAACTGAACTTTGGGTTGCTGTGAGTTTTCTGGGCTGCATGGCCATGTACCAGAAGCATGCTCTCCTGATGTTTCACTCACATCTATAACAAGCATCCTCAGAGGATGCCTGCAATAGATGTGGGTGAAATGTCAGGAGAGAATGCTTCTAGGACATGGCCATACAGCCCAGAAAACTCACAGCAACCCAGTGATTCCTGCCATGAAAGCCTTCGACAAAATTGAACTTTCTCCAAGGCCCCACTAGTGTTTCCAGCAAGCTGATGAGAACAGAACTGGGGAGAAGGGTGAATCATGAATTAAATCAAATTACAACTCTGCTTTGTTCATGATTCTTGTCATTGAAGGGAAGGATGTTTTGCTCAATGATTTGCTTATGAGGGAAGCACTCCAAAAACAATCTTTGAAAGGTGTTTCATCACCACCTCTTCTAAACTAAGACTTCAACTACAATTAGGTCAATGAACATGACCTCGAATGCTTGGAATCACCTAAGTGTCACATCTCTATGAACCCTGGAAATGCATAGGATCAGAATGGAATAAGAAATTAGCAAACCCTTGCACCACAAAACAGTTCATATTTTTTGTGTTACTTGATAGGTAAAGACTAGTGTTTACATTATGAAGGTGTATTTAAATCCAAATGTGTGATTGTAAACATTCAGTGCTATCTAAGACTGAAACAGTGCTATAAAAATTGTCCTAATTATCAAAGGCATGCAGGATGTTAGCATTGCTTTAAGTTTATATTTAGTACCAAAAGGCAGCAAACAAACCTGTGCTAATGTGAAGGCTAACAAATTTTATATGGCATCATCTTTCATAGACTATAGCCTATTTGCATCAGACAGGCTGCATTCCATGAATGCTGGTGCCAATAAAAGTTGATCATCTTTATGCTGCTACAAGACTCCTTTTGTTGGTTTCACTGTGACAGGCCACCACCCCTTGAAAAGTGGACTAAAAGAAAACAATTGGCACTCATTTCTGTTGAAGAGGGTAGCTGTGTACCAGTTGCATTAAATCATGAATGGATGTCAGGCATAAAATCTGGCCATCTAGCTTATTTTCCGACTCCCCACCCCCCCGCCCCCATATTTATACATCACATTTAAGCTTCCAAAATCTCCTCCACCGCCACGTAAATAAAACCCCTTTGATCCATACTTCACTTCAGTTATTATTGGCTCCAAACAGTGAAACAGTAGGAAGGTGGTCTCAAGTGTTCAGCTCTGCGTGCTTCCAGCTGCATAATGAACGGTGCTGTATACTTTGGGTTATATGACTGAAGCAATCAGTTGCTGATGGCTGTACCTATTGTGGTAACTGACACCACGGCCATAAGCACATGCACTTGGAAGTAAATCCAGTTAATTTCCAATGGAACCACTTCAGAGGGTTTCACAGGGTCAGTAAAATAGTATCTTTATTGGGACCGAGCAATAGTCACCATGCAGGCATGAACATGAGCTGGTCCTAATAAAGTGGCATTTGAAGATAAGTGGGGAGCTTACTGACCCCGTGGATTTGGTTATAATGGAGTGAGGTGGCAGCCCAATGTTTATTTCCAAAGACTTTCCCACCAAAGCTCATGAGATTAGAGAAGTCAATGGGAGGAATGTGACACTGGGATGATAGTGTAAGAAGTGACTCAAATGACTTAGTGAGGTATGTTGTGGTGCTCATGCTTGGAATATATACAAATCTCATGTGAGTCATCACAAATACATCAGAGTAGCTTTTGGCACCTTACAAATGACTAGAACCCACTTCAGTAGGTAAGTGAGCCATTCTCCTTGTTGGCAAACAATCTAGTATGCACTACACACACAAGGCGTGAGATTTTGTAACCATGTCATGCCTGTTTTAAAAATACGTTTGTGTTTTCAATTTGTGAAGTCTTACTGCTAAGCATGTGTGTTTTTAAATGAAACTATCCTTGTGTACAGAGGTGAACAGCTCTCTGCAGAGATCTGACGTACTCAACAGAGCATGTGAGTTTGATGTCACAGCAAATCAATGAAAGTGTCACAAGAAACCGTGACATGAAACCAGACCTCTTCCATTTGTGCCTGTATTTACAAACCCAGCATTGATAGATGCTGATCACACTTCAGATCTCATCTCTGGGCACTGGAGATACAATAACCATTCCTTTCACTGTCCTGATCTACCAGCAAGCCACAGGAGAGCCTTGGACAATACAAGACATGAGGGCCATGTATTAATGTGTGAAGGGAAGTCATGGGGAGGAGGGAGCAGGCTTGTTTTCTGCTGCCCTGGAGAAGGACGCAAAACAATGGCTTCAAACTACAGGAAAGGAGATTCCACCTGAACGTCAGGAAGAACTTCCTAACTATGAAAGCTGTTCAGCAGTGGAACTCTCTGCCCCAGAGTGTGGTGGAGGCTCCTTCTTTGGAGGCTTTTAAACAGAGGCTGGATGGCCATCTGTCAGGGTGCTTTGAATGCGATTTCCCTGCTTCTTGGCAGGAGGTTGGACTGGATGGCCCACGAGGTCTCTTCCAACTCTATGATTCTATGCCCAGGAGAAGTAAGGACCAGGCACCAAGCACTTCTCCTTGGGTTGGATTTCTACAGTGGTGGCAGGAGCCTAAACACCCTGAAGGCAACAGATCCCGACTGGTCTTGGAAGTGAAGCAAAGTCAGGCCTACTTAGTAACCGGACCTACAGATATTTCAGAGGAAGGGGAAGGCTTGCCACCTCCTAAGGCTCCTTCCCTAAGTAAGAATCACTCTCTGGAAGGCATGAAGTTGCAAGAAGTCAGCAAAGAGAGGCACAAAGGCCACTCTCTTGGACCCATCATTCAACAGATCTGCAGGGCATGTTGTGCACATGACCCACACACATGTCATTAGGGGGTGCCTCTTGGAAATCAAGAAAGTGCCCTTTGCCTACTTTATTGCAGGAGCAAACCTTTCATTCATACTCCTTAACTACCAGTGGCATAGTGGGTTAAACCCCTGTGCCGGCAGGACTGATGACCGACAGGTCGCAGATTCGAATCCGGAGAGAATGTGGATGAGCTCCCTCTATCAGTTCCAGCTCCTCATGCGGGGACATGAGAGAAGCCTCCCACAAGGATGATAAAACATCAAATCATCCGGGCATTCCCCTGGGCAATGTCCTTGCAGACGGCCAATTCCCACACCAGAAGTGACTTGCAATTTCTCAAGTTGCTCCTGATACGAGAAAAAAAAAAACTACCAGCACTGCCCTGTCCCGTTTTCACGGACCCTACCAACTTCAAGGCACCTTAAAAAGTCTACAGTTGTGGGGAACAGGCCAGTATACGAGGGGGAGGTGGTTTCCTGGCAGCATCCTATGCCCAAACGCCCCCACCTGCTTCCCTGCGCGGACCCCCTTCCCTTCCAGCAGAGGCTGGCTGGCCATCTGTCGGGGGTGCTTCGAATGCAATTTCCCTGCTTCTTGGCAGGGGGTTGGCCCGGATGGCCCATGAGGTCTCTTCCAACCCTGTGATGCGATGATGGCCTTCCCCTCCCTCCTCCTCCTCCTCCGCCCTTCCTAAGCAGTGACACCCCGGGGCTGAGCCGTTGAGCCCGTTTAGTCCCGGAAGACCAAGGCTGCCTGTCTCTCGGTGCGCGCCTCTCTCTTCCTGGGGGGCTCGGGGCTCCTCCGTTCCGTTCCTGGCCAGGGGCTTGGCGGGCGGCCCTCTTCCTTCCCTCGCGGAGACCCAGGGGGTTGCCTTGCCTGGCAGGCGCTCCCTCGGGGAGTACTTACAGCCTCTCGGTGTTCCTGGGGATGGCCCTGGGCACGGCTTTGAGTCCCAGCCCGTGGCAGTCTACGTTGGGGCCGGAGCAGGTACACTTCCCGGGGCATCCTCCGGCGGGCAGGCACAGGGCGGCGCTCCACAAGGCCAGCACGAGGCAGAGCTGCCCCGCCGACGGCATGCTCGCCTCCCTCCCTCTCCGCTTCCTTCCTTCCTTCCTTCCTTCCTTCCTTCCTCGCTCGCAAACGGGGCAGCAGCAAAGGCAGCCCAAGCCCGCCTCGACGCCCAAGGCTCTCAGCAGCCCGGCGCCACGGAAGGCATCCCTTGTCAACACCTTCCAAGGCAGCCCACACTCCCTCCCGCCGCTCAGGGTCCCTCCGCTGCTGCTCCAGGTGAAGGCGCTCCTCCTTAGCAGCCCCGGCGGCGGCGGCGCTCGCTCGCCCAGCCCGGCATGGCCCTTGGCAGACAAGGAGCAGAAGGCGAGCGCGGATCCGGCGCGGAAGAGGCAGGAGGAGACACAGCCCGGCGCGCTCCCCGCCTCGCCTCCATGCACTGGGCAAAGCCAGCCAAGCAGGCAGGCAGGCAAGCGAGCGGGCGCCCCAGGAGCCGCCGCCGCCCCCTCCCCTCCCCAAAAGAACATCTCCGCCGCCCATTGGCCGGCGCCACGCTGACGTCACCAAACTTTGGAACTTTGGCAGGGAAAGGTAGGGCCCAAAGTTTGGGCAGCGCGGCGGCGGGTGGAGCGGCGAGGGGGCTTCCCTCCGGCCCTGGCCAAGCCCAGCCCAGCACAGCCCCGTCCCAAACACAGGCAGACCCCCCATTACAGACCACGCACACTTAAGAACGCGGCTGAGGCAACAGGCACGGAGAGAAATCTACGCATAGGAACTGGAAATCACCCCTGGAAAAGTTGTCTTCATGGGGAAAGGAGTCTCCGCTGAAGCTTTCTCACCAACCCCTGTTTGCACAACAACAACAATCTGTATTTATACCCCGCCACCATCTCCCCGAAGGGGACGCGGAGCGGCATACATGAGGCCAAGCCCAGCAGTATAATACAGCAACATAAAATATAAACAACGAAATAACATCACAATCAAAATAAACCAATCAAATAAAATAAATAATACAAAACAACATAATAGGAAATCAAACACAGAAGCCAAATGGTTTCAAAATCCAATTGTCCCAGGAACAGAAAGTGAGGGGAAACTGTCTGAACAGGGTCTTCTTAGACTGCAAAACAAGCACCACAGGGATGTTGGCCCTCTCTGTGCAATCCAAAGTGAAAATATACCAGGGTTGAATGAAAAGTAATGCCTCCCCCTTCGGTACTTGGGTTTGGATGGGAATATTTTGCTTGCGAAACTCGGTGGTTGCTGTCACAGGACGTCCAACTTTTTGTCAGCAAGTCAGATGTTCCCACCTCAACATCTTTAAACTTGCTCGTCCAACGACGCACAGTACTCACATCAACACAATCACCATAAACAGCTTGCATTCTCTGATGAATATCCTTTGAGGTGACACCTTCTGCTGTCAAGAATTCAATGACTGCACATTGCTTAAGTCACATTGACTGGCCGTCTGCACAGGGTTCCATACTTCACACTTTAACAACACAACCGTTCAATGCTAAGGCTTCCCGCCAAAATAGAACTGTAGAGGAGAGTCTACTGAGCAAGCCAGTATCTGCCGCATACCAGTACTGTCATCTGTTGAGAAGTTACGAAGGTGGAGGCATTACTTTTCATTCAACCCTCGTATGTGTGTGTGTGGCTGGGGTGTGTCCACTAACACAGACAAGCTCCCACTTCCACAAACAGCTATAGCTCCCACCACTTAGGAGACACCAAAGGCCCTCCCTTCAATTTATTTATCATGTCAGGAGCGAACCAAACAGTTGTATTGTATTTTTTAAACACACACACACACACAAAATTTGCAAACTTGGCATTATACTAGATGTCCTTTGACCAGTAACTGTCCACTTGGAGTGCCTCTGGTGTGGCTGTAGGAAGTGCCTCCAATAACATTGCAGGTTATAGTGAGCACCATGAACATGTCCAAGAGCCCTGTCAGTGTCCTCCACAAACACCATTCTGCCCACCACCCAAGTGAAGGCTTTCATACATGGACAATTTCATCCTAGATTTTCTGTATTTCCTCCATTACAGACATCCCAGTATTTCTTATTCTCTCCACTGGTGTGGAATTTGCATGACTCTGCCCACTGCCTCTCCCATAGGAAACTACTCTAATATATGGCACACAGCTAACAGATGATTAACATACTAGAGAGGTTTGGGGAGAATTCACCATGATTTATAAGACCTCATCACACTAGAGAATGAATCTGGTTGCTGTTTCCTGCAGAATTCTGGGGTTTGTAGTTTAAGGAGGAGCCATTAACAGCTGCAGTAAACTACAAACCCCAGAATTCTGCAGGAGGCATTTTGGAGTTGTAGGTACTGGGATTTATCATTCACCTGTGATCAGTGAACACTCTGATCTCCCCCAAAGGTGGAATTGGCCCAAACTTGGCACACAGAGCCACCCATGACCAGCAAAAAATACTGGAAGTCTTTGGGGAAAATTAACATTGATTTGGGGGAGTTGTAGTTCACCTACATCCAGAGAGCACTGTGAACCCAAACACCGATGGCTCTGAATCAAACTTGGCACACCTGATATGCTGAAATTTGATTACTGGAGGGGTTTGGGGAGAACTGACCTTCCTTTCTGGGAGTTGTAGTTCACACAACTGGTGTGAACTACAATTTATATTGAATTTGTAAGTTGAAACTATGACCTCCACGAATGATGGACCCAAACCTGAACATACAGAACCCCCATGACTAACTCAACCTACTGGAGGAGTTTGTGGAGACTGACTCACCATAATGGGAGTTGTAGTTTACCCTACAGCCAGAAAGCACACTGAACCCCACCGATGATGCATCTGGAGTAAACTTGCCCAACATAACAAACTTCAAGTACAGATGGAGTTTCTTGGGTTTAACCTGGCATGATGTGAGTTGTAGTTCACCCACAACCTTATCCATTTTGTACAGTTTTTAAAAATGACTTTTTCAAATAATCTGGGCAATGCTGAGTACACAAGCTGTGTGTGTGTGTTTGTGTGTGTGTGTGTGTGTGTGTGTGTGTGGCTGGAGTTACACTTAAAAATGTACCTGTTTCAACTTACAAATTCAAATTAAGAACAAACCTACAGAAGCTATCCTGTTTGTAACTTGGAGACTGCCTGTAAATGCCTTAACTGGCAGCACATTGAGGGTGTTTGATTACAGGGGGAAGTGAGAGGGCCACAGCCCTGTTGACTCCAGCAGGCAGTTGACAGGGTGCCTTGGGTTGCCCCTGCACTATAGAATTAATGTCATTTGGTATAACTTTCAATGCCATGGCTCAATGCTGTGGAATAAAAGTATTGGGAATTGTGAAAGCTCTTTAGCCTTTCCTGACCTAGAGTGCTGGTGCCTCACCAAACTACAATTCTCCCCATAGCCATGAGCCATGGCAGTAAAAATGGTGTCAAACCGCATTTATTCTCACAGTGTAGAGGCACCCTTGGAGGCCTCGTATTCATTCATAGGGCTGCCACCAGTCAAAGCCACCCTGCCAGCAATTTAAAGGGTGCCTCTGAGCATGAACTGAGTACTGGTCTCTTCCTGCTGTATTGCCTTATCTGGGCTAGAACCCCTATAAAAGGGCCCCTTCTGCAAACAGTTAACAATCCTGCTTAAATTAAAATAATGTTTACCTGCTGGTGAAAGAAGAGCAAAGATACACCCTCCCATATGAGGGTGTTCCATAACTAGTTTGCTTGTACCCATCCACCCAGGACTCCAACAAGTAAGACATGGACAGAAACCTCCTATGCTCTTCGTCTCAGTACATTAGCCAGAGGAGTGCTGATGTTTATGTTCTCTCTGGTCTGTCTCATGGCTGATCTCCTGATCTCAAAGGGAATCATTGTGTTCACAATAGTATCTTCTTCTGGCCTTCATCCATGATGTCTGCAGGCCCTATCACGCTGCAGTGTTAGATCACTCTACAACATCCCACTTTAACTGCCCTGGCAACATTCCGTGGAATTCTGGGCTTTGAAGGAGGCTCAAAGTTAGCTAATGTGGAGTAATTGTGCTTTAACACTGTAATGTGGCATGCCCCTAACAGCAATCAGAGGACTTCTTCTATCTGAAACTGTGATTCTTTATTCCTGCATGGCAGTGGGTTGGGCTGGATGACCTTTATGATCTCTTACAGTTTTATGAATCTATAATATTGAATGTATTTGCAGGGCTATCTCCTGTCAAAGACCAGCCCCCAACTTCTCACTTGAAGATTGACTGCTATTCTGTAAGCAAAGCAAAGGAGCAAATTGCCTGGAGCCACATAAATAGTCTCACTCATTTCAATCCCGAGACCACCTCAATGGCCAGAGACATTTAATCTTTCCCTCTTCAATTATTGTAGTCTGTTAGTACTTACAAGTATAATATCTCTGAGCACTGCCAAGACGTTTTAGTGGACTGCTTTAAAGTGACGGTTCTAAGTGTGATCTGATGGACAGTTCTCTTCCACTACAAAGCCATAATTTCTGCTGTGATCTGACCCCAGCCATTTTTCCTTCAGTGGGGGTTGACCAAAGGTGTTCTGTTGTCAAGAAAAGTGCCCAATGTCATCTCTCCTCTTGTTGAATCCTACTTAAAATAGCTTCTGTTGTTCCTGACAGAAGTAGGTTAGCTGAAGGGACCCAAAGCAAGTCACAGAAAACATATTGGCTGAGGGATCCTGTGAGTCCAAATCCCAAAAAGTAGCTTTTCCAAGATCTGTAGCATTAATAGAATTAAGCATCCCTGGGTGACTTAGGTATACCTGCTGGGGAAAGGGCAACAAGTTGTGTTTAGCAAGCCATGATGCTTCCAGCCTGATCCTCTATCTTCAAGGGAGGGAAAATAGCAAGACTAATAATTGCAATGATATTCATTTATTAAAATGTTTATATCCTGCTTTATAACCAAAGGTCCAAGGCCATCTTACATTGTACAGTATTAAATATAAACAATAAAAGGTTTACAGTATAAAACATATTCAGTTATTTGACAAATTCGAACTGAAGGAGGACAGCCCTCTCAGAACAAGCTAAAATTATGTAGAACAGCATGAATAGTAATTAGTTGTAATACTAATCTTCCTTACAAGGTTGTTGTAAGGATAACTGAAACAATTGACACCATGTGCAGCTCTTATACCAGTCTGGATGTCTAAGCCATTGAAGACAACATAAGTCAAGTGGTGTAGACATGTAATATAACTCGTTTCTTTCTTTCACTTTTGTGTTTCTTATTTGAGATACATACATTTCCAGAAACCGCCCCCTCCATCCCACCCCCCAAATAAGCGAACAATGTTTATTACATTTTTTTCATGTCAAAAAGCGATTTTATGGTTGTCACAAAGGATTTAGAGTGGATGCCCTGGTTATGGAGATCAGAGGAAACCCTGAAATGACGCATACACCCAAAACACTTTAGTTAATATAGTAATAAGACCT